CTTGAATTTCACAACACTTCCCATCCTGTTTTTCACTGACCCCTAAGACATTCTATCTAACTCTAATCCTATGTTTTAATTTTCCCCAAATCTCCCTCTTATCAAAAACTGGGGAGAGATACCATTTTTTTTTTTTTTTTAAGATGTACTTCCACAGCCATGACCAGGTCAGGGACAGTCAGGTCTAACTTGTGCCATGTAGGACAGATCGCCTCATTAAATTTCATTTTGCAGATCTGATGTGACCAGGAAATGAAGGTGGAGCTAACCATAGTAGAGATAGGGGGTGTGTACTATGCAGACAGTTCCAGTGCAGATGGACAGACAGCTGCTGGAGAGATGGACTTCACTTTCAACCCACTCCATCTGAAAGGTCCAGTAAGTTTGTGAGTGTGAATCAGGAAGAGAAACAGATTGGTAAACATTTTCTTCAGACATCAAGCCACTTAGATATCCAACTGTCCTATGAACCTCTTCCTGAGAATCATCATCAGCAAACCCAAAGGTCAAGAAGGATGATCTCTGTATCCTGAGGTTTGAGGATTTACTCAGGCTGCAGACCCATCCCCACTCATTCTCATGTTCCTCAGCAGAGTGGGCAGGGATACTGCCTTATTTATCTTGGTAAAGCCAATCCCCAGCAGAAGGCTTGGCACATTGGAAGACACTCAGCAAATGTTTATTGAACTGCTACATGTTTCACAGGGAAATAAATATAGGTCAGTGCTGTAGAGTTCCTGAAAAAGCAGAACTCCAGCCAAATTCTGCTCTTCAAACAGGCAGATTATATGTACATACATATATACACACCGTCACAGAACACATGGACCACTGTAACAACCCACAAACAAATAGACTGTGCTGCCTGCCTTGTGCCAAGATGGGGGAAGGGAGGAGAGGAGGTGGTGGAATTAATCCTGCTGTTGTTGAGTGCCATCAAGTTGATTCCGACTCATAGTGACCCTTCGTGACAGAGTAGAACTGGCCCCCATAGAGTTTCCTAAGTTGTAATCTTTATGGGACCAGATCTCCAGGGCTTCTGAGTGAATCACAAACAGCCGAGCCTTCCCAAGAAGGACCTAGGCTTTTAACCCCAAAAAAACCTGGGGAAAAAGCAGGTGAAGGCAGTGATGTCTTCACTGTGACACAACAATCTATTTTCCAAATGGGTTGACCCTTGGCTCATTTCCCAGGTAAAAATCACTTTCAAACTGAGATATGCTTTTGGGATCTTTCCCTTAGCAAAAACCCTTCCCCTTACTTCATTGAAGCTTTTTTACAAATGGTCTATCTTTGACACTTAAATAGCAAGACAGAGAACCTAACTGAGCAATTCCTCATTCATCCAGCACCATCAGGAAAGGAATGAGGTATGCTGCACACAAGAAAGGGCATTTTGAGAAGGCTGAATCTTTTAAATGAAACTTGTTGATGGAAAGCTTTCTAAAATTATGTCCTTCCCTGCCTTCATAAAATAACGAATAAAAATTCAACTTTTTTTTTTTTTTTTTTGATAAACAAGAGTCATTATAAAAATCAGTAATATAGGATCTCTTAGAAAGTAGTCTTTGGGATATTTGAACTTTTATTAAATCTTCCATTTCTGTGCTTTCATTTTTGTTTTAGATAGACTGTTTCTGTTCTCTCTTGGGATGTTAGCACTACCTCTTTTCTATGTACTTTCTCTTGTCCTCTTCTCATGTGCGTTTCTAAGCTGTTGTGACTTAGGAATTCAAACAATTAAGTGCTGTTAGAAACACAAAACTCAACAGAGGTGACATGCAGCTTTTCCTTTTCCCCACTTCCTCTAACTGGGTTTGGAAGCCTTTGAGGGTGTTCCTCCCATACCTTGCGCCTAACATTGCTGTGGTACTTAATGCATCAGAGTAGAATATTCTGCTTGCTCATTTGTCTCTCCTCACTCAACAGTCACCTAAGTAGGGCTGGCTGTGGAGACTGTGATGTATTTTTTCTAGACCCCCAAAGCACAGCCCCGGGCCCAGCAGGACGAGGATATTTGGGAACGTTTGTTCAGTGAGTCAGTGAGTGTATGAAATAAGGTGAGTCGGCACTACCAAGGATCTGAGACCTCTTTCTATGGAGGAAAAGACCATGGGCTTTAGAGTATGGGTTTCATGATTACTGTTTACACAGTTTACAAGCCCTTGATGCTTTGAATTTAGCTCTGTCCCATAAAGCCAAAGCTGCTAAGAAATATTTTACCCACAAGTAGTATATTACATCTAATTTTCCTGTGAAAATTGGGTTTTGTGATAGCAGTGTTAAAATGCATTTAAAATATCCACCATGTTTCCTCAGCATCTCTGTGAGCAAACAGGAAAAAAAAAAATAAGGTCAAAGAGACATTCGTCCATTCGGAAGAGTCTCTGCATCAGAAAGGAGTCAAAGGCCATCTTACCTCACCTTCACCACATCCCAAGACTTCTTGGGACTCAAATGGCTTCCCAACCTGCAGCCTCTCTTGGAATGTTATGAGAGCTGGCCATGTTTCAGTCACTACTTCTGCGTCAAAGGGGCGAGGTGGGGACAGTTTTTTTCTAGTCCAGCTCCAGTCTATCCATGCCCTGCCCAAAGCACAGTCACTAAATCCCAGGCCCACAATGGAATCTGAGGATATCCTGGCTCCTCCATAGGGACTGGCGACTGCTGTTCTCCCCCCTCCCCACAAGAAATTCATGCTCCACTCCATAGACCACGCTGGTCTCTGTCTAGGTAGGCCCTTGCCGTGGAGGCAGACAGGCGAGGATGGAAACATGACACAAGCTGGTGGCAAGCCAGGCAAGCACCCCAACCCCTTGGCAGCACAAAAGATGGAGTCACAGAACACCACAGATGAGAGGCTCAGCCTGGTGCACCAGCCAAAATGCTGAAGAGTGCTTCAATACAAAGAAAATAAACCAAAATGACTTGCAGGAAGCCTGGGGGCGGCCAGGAGAACCCCTGGTTAAGCAAGTGATGGAGTCGGCACTGAGCCAGAAGCAATGGAATGCGGCGCTTGGAGACACAGATCAGATCATCTTACGCTTCTCCTGGGCCGACAGCCCCGTGCTGACTTCTTCAGCACTTTGTAAAGCACGTTGATCAAAGGTTCATTATTTTTTATCTGTTCCAAACAAAAAGGCAAATACAACAAAACATAACAGGTGAGACATCAAATGACACTTGAAGAAGCCAGAATTTGGGGAACTGGAAAGGGGAGCCCTGAAGGAGGATGTGTGCTGTGCATTTAAATAACCTGGTCCGAATTTTGGTTGTGCTACTTCCCAGCTGAGCAACCTCACTCACTGAGTGAGGCATCAGTGTCCTCATCTATAATCAGGGGGCCAATCAACTCTGCCTTGCTTGGGACCCTGGTGCAGGCTAGTTTGTGTGAACGTGCTGCTTCTTTCCTGGTTCTGCTGCAGAAGGCAAGAAGGAACACTACAGCTCTTTCATCTTTGCATCCTCCTTTGTCCTCTCCTCATCACATCCTTTATAGAGATTGAATCTTATTGCATTCATTCATCTCACCTCTCCCCCAACATTCTCT